TCTTCAAACACAGTAAGCCACATGCACCCTTCTTTCCTTATGTAGATGCTGGTTCACCATGTTTAATTCCAGCGGAAGTGGATCTGACGCGGGCGGTCAGCCCCCTCCTTTACCAATGGCTTATGGAATTCACGTCCTGCACGGGAGTGGATATTTGCCCAACAAAACTCACAGTAATACTGCAGGCAAGTGACATTGGCACAGAAGAAAGGAGCAAACTTTCCACCGCATCGTGCGCCCTGGCATTCGTCACACATCTGGTCATCCAACACATATGGCTTTACCTCCACCTGTTGGAGTGAGACACAAAGAGCTCCAGTTAACACCTACTGTGCCCACTGAAAAGACAGTGAGTGAGTTCAGGTCTTCTCTCTTCCGGAAAAAGAAGCAGTCTGCCATCAGATAGGTTTAGGTCTCTACCCATTTCGCAGCTTTTTATCGCTGTTTGCCAGTTACAGCTCCCAATCTATCCATACAAAAAGTTAAGCAATTCAACACACATCTTCAGAAGTGCATTAAGTATGTAGCTAATGGCTACATCGGAACCTCCAATTAACTTACTCTGGAAAGATACCCTTGGCAAGTGACAAAACCAAAGCACGTGTAGAAAATAAACCACTGGTCCCGAAGCTCTCTAAAGAAGTCTCACCAGCTCCCAGATACACCCCAACACGATACCCAGTTTTGTGCTGCTTAGCAAACAACACACAAACAGGAATGTAACCGTTTATACCTGAGCAAGAAGTCTCTGCATGTACTACCTTTCTTTGCCAATTAGAAGCACTTTCTGCAGGCTCGATTACTTCTGTTGGTACTCTTAACTCCCATAACTTCACTCCAAATTTCTAAAATACGACCAAATTAGGAGTTTCTGATCTGGGTCACGTATTACTTTCCTTTATTTAATTTCTTTTTACTTTTTGGCTTTGAGTTGCACAGGAATTTGTGTTCAATATGATCCTGAATGTATTTTTAAAAGATTGTTCTGCAAATCTGCAGCCTGCTAGAAACACCTGTGTTACACAGCTTCTTTCTCCCAAACTGCTCTGACTGCCAGAGTGGAAAAGTGGCAGGATTCCAGTGGTACATTTGCACAATGTCTCTGCATCACTGAACTGTTACAGACTGCACTCAGACAGGAAGAAGAACTTCACAATAAAGCACAAAATGAATTGACACCATCATTAAGGAATGTATTGTTGTCTTCCTTTCCTGAATTTTTTTTAAAGACAGTATTTTCAAAACTTCTGTTGGCAAAAACAATTATTCCAATTTATCCTACAACTCAACTTTTTTTTCCCCTGATATTTACTGTTACTTGAGAAGAATCCTACACGCAGACAGTGACGTCATGTACCACACTCAAACGGTGTATGTTTGGAATACTCAGATCTCCAGAATAAAATGACGTTTTTGCATGTTATTTCCAGAGCTACAAAATAACAGCCAGGCTGGATGTGGCTCTGGGCAGCCTGCTCTGGTGGTTGGCGAACCTGCACACAGCAGGGGGGTCAAAACCAGATGATCCTTGAGATCTTCCTCATCCCAGGCCATTCTATGATCCTGTAAAGCTACCAAACACCCAATGATTTGCAAAAAAAAAAAAAAAAAAAAAAAAACAAAACAAAACCAAAAACCCAACAATATAGATTTTCTTAGCTTCAGAAAACGCACACTTGAGTGGTCAAACACAGATACATTTGAAACACAGTACGCTTCTTTCTTCCAACAGCGTACATTCAGTATGAACGCCACTGATTTCTTCCCTGCAACGACCTGCATCAGCATAAGTTACACCTGGGCTTTCCAATAAACAGCAACTATACACAGTAATTCTGTTTGTGGTCCAACATTACTGAAAGCATGAAATACCATGAATTTCATGCTCTGGTACGTTGATGCACCAAGATAAGTATTGAGGAGATTACAAATGTTATTAAATAAACATTTTAGGGAACTGAAGTATCAGATGAAGTGGAGGGAGGCTGCTGGCATATGAAAGTTAACAACATTTTAAAGAATTTTTGGAGATGGAACTCCAAATGAGTTTCAAAGAAATGTTTGGAACTGATCTGTCTTATATGATGAAATAGCATGAAAAGCACTTTGCAGAAGAAAAACATCTGCTGGAGAAGCTAAACATATCTGTATCAAAAGAACTGAAGAAAGCTCCAGAGGTAAGGAATAAGTTAAGGTCACAGACAGCATCTACAAAGCCACAGTGACACCCAGCTTTCCTATTAAAATAGAAAAAGATATATGTTAAAAATGCCATAAATACTTTCAGCAGCAGCTCAGACGGATAAAGAGGAGAACAGCAAACTTTAACCATGAAAGAAAAGACACAGAACTGGTTCTGAAAAAATGTGAAAAGACAGCACACCTACAGAAACTGGCTATAACTGGCAACAGAAAAACTAGTAAGATGAAGCACAGAACAATCTCTAAGACTGCACAGAAACGTGTAATGTATTCCTAAATAGGCCAGCATGTATCTGTATTTCAGATGAAGGCAGCACCTGAAGTACAACTGTCCTCCACATTTATAAAATCAGCATTTATATTAATGTAAATGACTCAGTTGTGTACTTATATTTTACTATATAAATAATAACAGGACTGAACACACAATTTAAATATAGAGAAAGTTATTAAAAAAATGAGATTAAAAACCTCTGGCATATGAACAGAACAGATCATAAACCCTCTCCATCAAGATAAGGTTAAAAGACAAATTGATTAAAATATTCAGATTTGGCATCAGTGTGTTTTGGAAGCAGAGCATCACGGGAGCAGCAGATGTTTTTGAAGAAATCAAACCCAAGGAAGCTAACAAACATGACCAAGAAGAAATCATTTAACTGCTATTGTGTAAATTAAGTCTCATGGATATCACTCAAACACCGTGCTTCTGAGCTTCGGTATTTATGGCAGACTGTGTGCTGATTTTTTTTTCTGTCCATGCTCCAAGAGGTCTGCAGCAGATGCCCACTGTTTTACTGAAATTTCACTCTCATATCTCTTTAAGTTTTTCAGAGTTACACAATATAAAAACGTCCAGTCACCTCTGCAAAGAGCAAGCACTGTCATTTCAGAAGCCTGCTCAGCATCCAAACGGCCCCTGAGATTTCCAGTGAGCTATCATCACGGGCATTTTTCCTGTTATGTAACTAGAGGAAAGTCAGAGCTTCTAGCCAAAGTCAGCTGCAAGTCACAGGAACAGCAATGTCACCAGCAAAATGTAGCTGTAAGGACTGGATGTGAAGCCTAGTTCACCACCCACATTCATTCCCACCCATCTCCTGGAAAGGACTCTGGGGATTTCAGCTCCCCAGGCAACTGGTATCTGAGAGACACGTAAGCCTGTATTGCTTGGCCTATTTGAAAGGAGAGAAGCACCTGCTATGGCCTTCAGTTAACTGTACCAATTTCTTTCTGCAATGCCTTTGATCTGCAGAGGAGACTGGACCTTGAACTACTTACTCATTTCTCCTCCAGGACGTTAAAAAAAAAACCCGTAACAAAAACCAACCCAGAGCACCTATTAATAACACTGCCTGCATCTACAACTCTTGACATCAGAACTAGTCAACTTCAAACTCATCTAATTTAGACGTCTGTTTTCTTTGCTACTCTCATACTTCTAAGTGAGAGCAATGAAGTAGACTTGTCTTCTGAAAAGTTAGCCTTGCTTTAGCTAGCAAAAATCATCTACAGCAACCAGAAAGGTACACTGGTAAATACACAGGATCAGGTTCTATCTGAAGAGAAAGGATGAGTTAAGGTTAAGTACGGTTGATTTTCCAAAGCACTGACAATCATGGTTGAAGTGAAAGGCAGCAGAAAATTGGACCTATTCTGAAACCAATAAATAACAGAGTTTCTCATGAATGACACAGGAATTATTACAATATTTGCTTTGCTTAGAACAAGGGTGAAAAAAATTTCAACAAAACCAGGAATTCCAGAATGGAAAGAACATATGGTCTAACATATGCCCGAGGAACAAACTGCTGCTTTGTGGAATGCTCGTTGTTTCAGGGGCATTCAGAGTTTAACTCCTGGAACCTGTGGAGCTAGGGAAATATCAGAAGAAATGTCAGAGGTGGCACAAAAGCGGATCAGAACACAAAGTTATGCATCCTAAGAAACTGTGTTACAAATCACTGCTCCCACATATCTAAGAAAACCCACCCAGATGAACTCCTTCTGTGTAACTTACTCGTTTATCTATATCGCCATGCTGAAGTTGAACGAACCGAGCGCTGATGGCAGCAATGTAACTCTGCTGATTGGAAAAAGCAACACGTCCAGCACCTTTTGGGTATTTCAGCTCAGGGTCAGTATCAATTCCTGCGTAACAAACTCCACCATACAGACGGTCCATGATCATTGCCAATTCCACTATTAGGAAACAAAACAAAGTTCGCTTGAACTGTTCTCACTGTACAAACTCAAAAAATCCAGAAAAGTTAATTTCAGTAATTAATTCTCCAACAACTTATGTAACTAAAAAAAAATTACAACATGCAGGATTAAGTTGTGAAATAGTCAGCAGACATCTTTCACACTGCAGCCACATACACCCAGGGAACAATGGAGTGCAAGTCCTTGCAGTCCTTAGTAACCTGGAACTGAAATTCAAGGGCAGTTTTCTGTAAAGGGTAACACATGACTTCTGGGGCAGGATGGAATGCAAGCTGCATAGAATCCACATGCCCCAAACTCCTTGGTACATGTTCTCTGTCTGTACAATTGCTCTACATCCAACTTGAATTTCAAGATGTAGGTAGCATCTTTTCACCAGGCATGCAGAACTTGATCATCTCTACAGTATGGCACTATATAGAAACTCGAGTTAATAGAATCAATAATCTCCAATTTCACAATAAATATTTTAGCAAGCCTTTAGTAATATTTTATACTGAATTCAATTTAGCAATTCACTGAGGTGGAATATATCTTTTTTCAAAACAAACATCCCCTGCCTCAAGACATAAAGGTGTCAGCAGACATTGATTTTCAATAGTTGTCTGAAAAGTGTGATAAAGTTTTACTGCTTTTCTGAAGGCATGATTCTTATTTCACAATGCCATATAGGTTTCATTTTCACATACGCAGAAGATTTTAAAGCAAAGTATAAGACAGTATACATTACATTTATCACAGACCCTTGGCCAAGTAATCTGGAGTATCAAGACAGAATTTGGAGAAAATTAACCTGCAGTTGGAATGCTCATTTACAAAGTATTACAGAGTAATGCAGTCAAACGTCTTCTTAAAAGTAAAGTAACAAAAAAGCCTGATTATTGTAGGTCCAAGATAGAAAAGCTTTATATGCTGTATACCCTAAATTTGCTCTATCACTTCCTGTTTCTCCTGTGTCTTCCATATGAAAGCTCATCTTACCCTAATGCAATGATACTTACCCTTACTGTAATGATATAATTTAGCACAAACAGTGGAAGACTAATGAAGTCCAGGGACTTTCTAAGAGAAATCTGGATTTGAAATGCTGTACGTAATGCTTCACATCAACTCACTTACTAGAAGGGCACTGTACAACGCTGTAAAAGGCTACTGCAGTCTGTCTCACAAAGCAGACTGTCCTGGCTGCAGATCGACCATTTCACAGCTACAAAAACATTGAAATTTTCCTCCATGCATTCCAACAAGAGCTGAAAAAGTGTCCTGCAATCTCATATAGCACTGTATCATACGTACTGTGTCAGCTGTCTGAATTTCTTCCCATTTTCCTCTAATCATACTAACTACCTGCATTTCTCCTTATCCATGTTATCCACAGTAACCAGTCAGCAATAGAAAAGTAGCTGATGTACAGTAACAATACAAAAAGAGCTCCACTCATGGAGCATAGCAGAGGCCACAGCACTACTTTGAAAACAAGAAACAGCAGTTTTACTAGTAAGATGAAAGTACTTTCTACAGCCTTAGACGTTGTAATGGTGTCCAGTGTGTCTCAGAGGTGAACAGTGATTTGTGATCTGCCAAAAGCAGAAGAAGGCAATTACCAGAGAAACGTAAGAATAGATGAGTATTTTTCTCAAGCAGCAAGCTGGCTGGACTGATTAGCAGAGCTTTAAACTATATTTGATGAGGGAAGACGACGTAATTCCAAGTGACATACAAAGGTTGTTGAACAGTGTCATTTTAAGAAGCAGCAGTGAAAAACCTCAGCTTCCTCCCAAAGGAATTTGAGAGGGCTCCTCTAAGAAGGTAATGCAACCCATTGCATAGCTGTACCATCTCTATACCAATGCATGCAGCATGGGAAATAAGCAGGAGCTGGAAGCCATGTCATAATTGGAAGATTATGCTCCGACTGATATCAGAAATGTTGTGGGATGAACTGCACACCTGGAACAATGCAATTGAGCTTTTTAGAAGAGAGAGACAGGGCAGGATGGGCAGGGGAGCTCTCCTCTATGTTAAGAAGTGCACAGATTAAGAGCTGCCTTTAAGAAACAGTAATGATCAGGCTGAGAACTTGTGGATTAAAATTAGGCATCAGACAAATAAAGGACACCTGGTAGTGAGGTCTTCTGCAGGCTGCCTGATCAAGGGGAGCCTGCTGACAAGGCCTTCTTGCTTCATCTGCAAGGTCTGTCACACTCGCAAGCTCTCATCAAAAACCTACCTGTGTAACCTACTCATGGAAACCTGCTTTAGCAAGGGTTGGACTAGATGATCCCCAAAAGTCCCTTCCAATCCCTAAGATTTGCAGCCAGATAGTTTTAGTCAACTGCTTTATATCTAGGTGGAGGCTGGTGATGAGTGATATAACCACGGGGTCCATCCTGGAACCAGTGTTCTTAAACACTAATATCCATGACCTAGAAAGTGGACACTTGCACCCCCAGCAAGTGACACTAAGTTCAGTGGTGCAGTTGATATAACAGATGGAAGGGATGCCATCCAAAGAGACCTGGACAAGCTTGAAGAGTGGGCCCAAGTGAACTGAATTAGGTTCAATAAGGCCACGTGTGAGGTGCTGCACCTTGGCTGGGGCAATCCAATCTCACAGGAGACCTCTTTGTGGCCTTCCTGTACTTAAAAAGAGCTTATAAACCAGAATGAGACCAATTTTGCATGGTCTGATAGTGACAAGACTAGGGGAAACAACTTTAAACTCAGGGGGGATTTGGGTCAGATGTTAGGAAGAAATTCTTTACCCAGAGGGTGGTGAGGCACTGGAACAGGCTGCCCAGATAGCCCACGGATGTGCCATCTCTGGAGGTGTTCCAGGGCAAACTTGGATGGTGCCATGGGCAACCTGATCACGTGGGAGGCAATCCTGTCCAGGGCAGGAGAGATGGAGCTAGCTGATCCTTAAGATTGCTTTCAGCTCAAGCAGCTTTATGATTCATATGATTCCATAAATACCTACAACTATCCATACATACCTGCATACAATTATGCATGATTAAAAAATGATTTCTAATAATCTCCCACTTTTAAAGAGAGATGTAATTTATGCTCACCAGCTCTTAATGGTCTAGGGACTCCTCCAACAAAAATTGTTTTCCGAGGATCAAGTGGCTGCGAACCATCCATCACAAAATCACTATCACTGAGATTCCAGGGACGGATCTGAACCTATTAAAAAGGGGAAGAAAATGACATGCTGGTTTCTGTTTCACTGCGTTCTAAATATATACTTATCAGCCCATATAAACCAACAGTAGTCATAACTCTATTAGCTTTGCGTGTCTTGATGTTCCGTTTTAATCCTATTAATTCAAACCTCAATGGTTTTAAAATCATCTGATTGTTCCAGATGTTGAGAGCTGCCAATGGTAGTTTGCTGTTGATTATTTTCATCATCATCATTTCAAATGCAGCTTTAGACAGATGGCAGCTATAGCCTGCAGGCCATCTACTGTTTACTTACTGGCTTGTCCTTGATAGTAGGACTGGAAACACATAGATAGAGCTTTCCATCTTCTTCAATACAGGCATCAATCAGTGCCTGGACAGAACTCTCTTCTTGGAATAAGAGGAATGCGTAACCTAGAGCGAAGAAGAAAATAAAACAGTTAATTTTTTTTATACTTTTATTTGCTTTTCTTTAATTGTCTTCTCCATACAAATGTGTTTACTTGAAATGTAGAAGAAAGTCAAATCAACTCTTTGTTATTAGTCGTGTTCTTCATCTGTGTGCTAATCTGCTGTGATCAATACAACTGTGGGCAAATACTTCTATCCTTGAAAAAAAAAACAACGAAAACACACCAAAGAGACTAATAATCAAATAAAAGCAAACCTGTCTGCTCTATCATATATTGTAAGTACAGACTGAGCACAACTCAGAGGTAGCTGCAGACATTATACAATGAAAATCCGACTTGGCACAGAGGACTAATCTCTATTCTAGAGATTAGATCAAAGTACTCCGTTACATAAGTGACCCAGCAAGCCTCCCAAACACTACAAAAATAGGAATCAAAAAGCTTACTTAATGCTACAGTAACAGACAAGCAAGGAACCTCACACAATAGAATGCTGTAATGGTTACCATATGATATATACAGAACTTGTTACTTTACACGCACCCCATACCACAATTTGGATGCATTCTGAAGTAGACTGTAAAAGGACATAAATCCCCATTTCTTCCTCACATTACTAGCAAGTGTAGAATATTCACATAAAGTGAAAAAATAAGGGCTGAAGCACCTGCTCTAGAGTGAGGTTGGCAAGAGGGAATACGGCTGCTCCACCAAGCCTTTTGGAAATGATACTGCTTTTTGGAGAGGTACTACTCACTCACTGGCAATCCCATACTGCAAACAGTGTAGGTCATCAGGGTGTTAACAGAATAGGGTGCATCTCAAAGAGCACTAAAGAATCAATGTTTTAAGCAAAACGTAAGATCAGAGAAACAAATGCAAATGATTTTAGATCCATGGGACCAAAAGCAGGATTTAAATAAAAAGCTGTAAAGTTCTATGCTGTTTTTTCTAATAACTTGTACCTGATCTCACATCCCTCACACTATGGTCCTGTCACAGCTCCCTTCGAAGGACACAACTGTGCATATTCTACTTTCATGTAAATCTTACTCAGTTTATTAAAAAAGTCTGTAGGGAATCTTTGAGCTTTGGCTAAGGCATTTCCTGCTGAAATCCAGTGTTATTAAAAATACCGTTCAGCAATGAAAATTCTGTTCAAATTAAACTTAATTAGTAATTACTTAGACTCAAAAGCCTTGTTTAAGGGGGATATCTTTCAGTATTTACTTTGCAGTTTAAAATTCACATATAAGCCACGTAAAACTCAATGAACCAGGGCATGTGCAGACTAGCAAGGATAAGTGAGACTAGAACCACATAACTGTCTTCCCCTGCACAGAAGCCAGGTGCACACAGTCCAGTTTGAATGGAGATCTCAATACAAGAATGGCAGGAGTGCAGAAACTTGATTACCTGAGGTGAGGGCTAAATGGGTGACATACAGTCACAGCCAGAATTACGTAAAACGGTTTGCTGGAAGCTGATATTTCATCAATTTGTATCCTAACGCAAATCAGTGTTACTGGCATATGGCTCCTGGCACATAAATAGAATCGGCGTCCCCAGATCATCTATGACCTGTATGTCTGCAGCTATTAATATGCTTAGCAGGAGCCTTGTGAAGAAATAGACAATTCCAATAGGAACTAGATGAGGGAACAATTAGGTACCAAATATATTCTACCAAACTAAAATAAAAACAAGGAAAGCAAAATCAGAATTATATACCACCACTGCCTTCTCAACACTATCTGCAGAGCTTAACTCATGTCTGGGTTCATCCCATTTAATTTTAAGCAACAGAGAGGCCTGTGTCATGAACTTAGCTGTACTTTTGAAAACATGGAAAACCTGAGGTTAGCAAATCCATCTGGCTGAAGTTTTGCTCCATAGCTCTAGTGCTTTAATGACTTCAAAGGTATTTTAGTTTGCTCCCCAAGCCTAGTCTGGAAGAAAATAACTAGCTCTCTTGGTGAAGAAAGGTGACTGTAGAACATAATATGTTTCAGATCCAACATTTTACAGACAGGCCAATCCCTTCCCACAGTCTGGATACAATCCTTCTTTACTTGCTTTGCATTATGGTACGCATCCTTGCACAAACCAATTATACATTAGCCAAACTGCTACAAAGAACACCACAGTTACATAAGGATCCAGGCTTTCTATTCATTAAGCATAAAGGAATTTACCATCTTAGATACTCAGTTTAGATATAAGTTTGGGCTTTTCTTCCTCCAGCAATCAGATGCCGACAACTATATGTACAAACTTGTTTCTCATGCTTTTCTGTTTTCTTAAGATATGTCGCTGTTGGATTATTTTTATCCTCTATAATTCATGAAATATTGTGGACTGTTATTGACTGCACAGGTAGTTAGCTGCTGTTGGTAACTGCACATAGCTGTGATGAGAAGGATTTTATAACGATACCAAACTACAATTACTATGTGTAATACAAAGTATATGCAGTACCTGTGAAACATGGAAGGGAGGTATTGTGAAGAGTACTTTATTGCACCACAGAACAGTTTAATTCACTAGTTTCTTGTTTTTCTTGTGTACCACATCTGTTATGTCACTGTAACAGCTTCCTACGCAACAGCAGCGCAAGTCTGTTCATAACGGCAAAGAAAAGCTGCTCTAATAGGATTCTCTGAAGGAAGATGCTTCATACCTTTGGGTCATACGTACACGGGCAGCAGCACGTCACGATCAGATGCTGCTTGCCAAAAGGCAACCCAAGTTTGTATGGTTTCCATAAGTGAAAAATGTTAGATGGAACAGTCTTATAAAAATTTATTGTTCACATGTACCAGCATTTATGCCTTCTGTGAGGATAAAGTTTAGGTAACCCCTGCTAGCATTCAGTTGTTGATTAAATTACTCTGCATTATACTGCAATGGTTATAAATACTGCTGTTTTCAAAGGGAACTGATGAGGGATTTTGATAATATCGTTACCACAAAATTATCTCAAAGAAAAAGAAAATCTTCTGGAGATCATAACTGACAATAAAACTACATTCCCTGATATCTAAAAACGCTGCACTGGTTATAATTATTGTTACTCTGAGTACAAACAATACTTCAAGAATTTTTTATATATATATAATTATATATAATTATATATATATATATATTATATATATTATATATATTATATATATATATATTATATATAATTATATATAATTATATTAAATACATATATAAAACTAAAATTATGTTACTAAATATATATATATTCACACACATACATATATATATGTATATAGATGTATATAACTAAATGAAACTGTTGTAAGAATCCAAGCAAAAAAACCAACCAAACAAAACCCAATCCAAAACCTATATACAGAATCAGTGCTTTCATTTTTTTTAATTTACTACACAGAAGAGGTGGCTAATATGAATTTCTGGCCAGGCATAATTTCTTTATTCTACAATATGGAACTTTACAAAAGGAGACAAGAAACTTCTGTTAATGCATAGATCCATATAGAAATCTGAAAGCAGCTGTAAATTATTTGACTCCAATTAACTTCTATCACCAGTGACTTAGAAGAGAGGTAAAGAAAATCAGTATAAGCCAGCATGGATATTCTGCATCAGCTGACAGAGCTGCGTTTTCTTTTATGGTTGGGTCCCCTACTGTTCTAACAGTCTTCCCCAGAGGAGAGCTAAAAAACAAACCCAAACAAGTGTAAACTACTGACAATGGATCTACATTCAATAATGGGAATAATTCACATTTGGGGAGGATACATAAATCTTTCAATCAGTCACCTTTTACCGAGAATCAACTCGAAATTACTCTTTAAGTGAGAACATACAAGCTGGCACAACTGCAATGCAGATATTAACTAAGGCACTTTTGAATGAAATAGAGGTGGTGCAGGATTCACCTTGAGACCCAAGTGAACCCTATTTCCATATTTCTATTTCTGTGGAAATATTCTTGACTGGGTTTAAGCTCTGTGGTCAGCAGAGATCTAGTTAATGTTGCCAGTGGTGTCTGGGCAGTTACTCGGCTGACAAGCACAACACAGAGATGCCTTGCATGATTCACCCTCTGCAGTACTTTGCCTAACCTTCAGCTGCTTTTCCAGGGTGGTGTGGGGCTTCAGTAGGTACTGTACCACGTTTGCCATCCCTGGGTAAATCTTGGTATTCTTGGTTTGGAGAAATGAATCAAGCACAATAAGCTTACATTGCAGCGACCTGAATATCCCTTTGTACTCCAGTGACTCTATTGGCTAGGTTCCCATTAATTAAAGGAAGCTTAGATGCTAATCGCACATGAAGACACCTACAGCTATTTGCCTGAATCCAGAGTTCAGTCCGAGCTCCAAGGAGCTCGAGTGAGCTGGTAACAAGTTAACCAATGGACCTATGGTTTTGCTCCTTGAACTAGAAACAGAATGTTTTCAACACGATTTTTTCAGTCAGTTGTAAATTAGCAGTTAATAACATTGAATAAATGAAGCTACTGCATGACTGCTGGGACAGAAAGCGAAAGAAATACACAGATAATCAGAAAAAGCTGGAGATACTGTCTTGTTTAAACAGATTATCCTCTGTTTTATACAGACTATAAATAGTACAGAACATGCAAACAACTGGTCCTCCTTTGAAAGGCTCTCTGGATCAGCATATCCTCACCGCACCATCTCTTTGTGAGCGTCATTATCATGAGAATGGATTTCTCACCTCAGCAGTCGCTTTGAACGTGTGTGCCAACTAACTAATAACAGGAGTTATGATAAGCAGTGACAAGATAGAAAGGAAGGAATTCCCCATTACAGCTGGCAGATCACTTACTGACTGTACTTTGATCTCAACAGAATAATTCTTTTTCTGCTTCATAACTGAGGTTCCTTCTAAGATTAGTGTGAAGTGTTTAAAATTTCTGCTATCTTCAGGCCTCATTTTGTGGTGAGCCAACACAAAATGTAATTAGCAAATAAAAGGCAGTTGTTTTTCAGGAGGCAGTCAGCCTTGACAGATCAGTATTTCTTCAAGTAAGGAAATACTTCTTATGAACTTGGCCTTCCCTCAGGACTATCTGTAAGCAGAGAGCCTGGAAGGAAGCACAGCCTGGAAGACTGAACAAAAGTATTAAAGCAGTAACAAAAGATAACAAAAAAAAAAGACACCAAACAAGCAACAAAACAGGCTGTATGACTTCAACATGCCGAAGACTAACGTACAGAACAGCCCAGAAATGGATAACTCCGAGATGTCTTTGGAAGTAATACTATTTCAAGTCTCTAACAAGACTGGACAAAAACAGATAGATACTAAATTATTTCCATGCAAAGTAGTAAGCTAGACAGCGAAGATTAGAAATTAAAAATAAAATGAACTCCCTGTGCTATTATATGGTGCTTACATTGGTAATTGTCCATTAATCTCAAACCTTTCTTTGTATTTAGCCTATGTTTAGCAGTTTTAGGTATCTTATTAAACATATATACTCTGTTCCTGCCTGCACAAGTGCGTAACACTGAAATATAGTAAGAAAAATTTCTATCATAGCCTATAGTAATCACGTCTTATCTGGTGCAGTGAAAGAACCAGATTACATATAAACACAGAAGCATTCAACAGTTAATAGAAAATTGTATTTCCAGACTATACAAATAGAAACCTATGCCGTATTTTAAATGTGTGAGACTATTGCAGGCTGCTGTCACACTATAAAACAATGATGAATGCTGTAGTAAACAAACAGTTTGACTATAAAGTGTTATTAAAGTTCGTGTAAAGATCAGTTAACCAACTTAACACTAGGTATCTAAGTGTGTTCCGAATTAATTAGATCAACTGACTAGAGTTCTTTTATCTATATTCTCTGCTTTCAATACAGACTCATTATTACTGTTATTTTCACTACAGTACTTACAAATTTTCCAACTGCAAAGTCTCAAAATACATACTTAAGATATTTACATTCTGAGCCAGGTCCGTCTCCTTAGAAATTAACACCAGAACTCATTTCTTCCAGTAAAGAATGTATTAGACCTTCCCTCTTCTACATATTCAATACAGACTCTGTGAGTTAAGCCTCTCCCTCAAACTGCTCCTCCGGAATTTCTCTTGGTAAACTGTAATCAAAGATGCACTCCTTAGGGTAATCAAAGTTTGTTAAGACACTGAGATTTTTATTAGGCTGACAATCAAAAAAGAAGAAGTCTCTTTGGCTTGATTTCCATACAGTATTCATAAATTCTATTCAAATACTTTCAACTCCTTTACCTGCTCTTTAGATGAATATCTGAGGAAATATGCCTGCTTTTAAAATGGCATAGTCAGTCAGATAAATAACTGAGAATAGGTAAACAAAGGCAGTATGCCTGTATCTGACACGTCCAGGGAAGGAAAGAGCTGCTGCATTCTCTACAAAATGAACAACCTCTTTTTTTGTTTGTTTATTTTATACATACTAAATACACAATTTCACACAGATAGAGATAAGCTACATAGTTTACCTCAATGTACAAATTTAGCCTAGATTTTGAATATCAAAGAGCAACACTAGAAATAGTTAAAAATCACTATTTAACCAGACGTCAATAATAGATGCTTCAATAGATGCTCCTGTCTTAAAAATGGAATAAAGACAAAATTATTTTGATCATATACCCAAATAACATCCTTCTGAAACCTGTCTTAATCCTCTACAAAAGAAACTGATTTAGGATTAAAAATATGATAGAATTTTAGTTTTAGAAATCAGAAATGCAAATAATAGATCTCTGAATTAACAACATGTACAGTTGTATAACACTGATCTAATAATTGGGAAATGAAATTATGGAAGATTCTTCAGAAGTCCAGCACTGAACCAGGCAGAATACTACAACTCTGTGTTTAATACTCGGTACGAAGATGACCAGGGGACTGGAGCACCTCCCCTATGAGGACAGGCTGAGGGAGCTGGGCTTGTTCAGCCTGGAGAAAAGAAGGCTGCGGGGTGACCTCATTGCAGCCTATCAATACCTAAAGGGAGCCTACAGACGGGAGGGGAATCAACTCTTTGAAAGGGTTGATAACAGCAAGACAAGGGGAAATGGTTTTAAGTTGAGGGAGGGGAGATTTAGGTTGGATGTCAGAGGAAAATTCTTGAATGTGGGAGTGGTGAGGTGCTGGAACAGGCTGCCCAGAGAGGCTGTGGATGCCCCGTCCCTGGAGGTGTCCAAGGCCAGCTTGGATGGGGCCCTGGGCAGCCTGGTCTAGTATAAAATGGGGAGGTTGGTGGCCCTGCATGTGGCAGGGGGGTTGGAGCTTCATGATCCTTGAGGTCCCTTCCAACCCTGGCCAATCTGTGATTCTGTGTGTAGAGCCTTGTCTGAAAATGCATTGAAACTGCACAATTGACTATTCACAGGGATTTTAAATCATATCCTTTGGGAGAAGATGAGACAGTTTGCCCAAGTAGGATTTGCACTCAGTGACAGGTCAAAACCTTTCAACTCTTACCTTTTGGTGGAAAATAGGACTTGCTTTCTGCTTTGTGAGGCCAATCTACTACCAAAGGCCCAAATCGTCTGAAGCTAGCAGTAATTTCATCTGAAAACAAATGCAACAGTTGAAATTAAATAAAAAAGTACTCAATGACAAAGTACTATCAAACAAAGATCTTTGTTTATAGCAAAGTTTGACGTTTCATGGAAATAGAGGAGCGAAGTTTCCAAGTTTCCCAAACAAAAGCCATAAACAGATACCTCTTCCAAGTGTTAACATTTACACAAATACTTCTGGTGATTTTATGCTTATGCTTTTTTTATTTTTATTTTATTTTTTCAATTACTCAGTAACAGGGGATTTCAGAAGGATATGGACAACTAAAGGCATATAAGCAGGCAAGAAAGAAAGAAAATGCATCTCCATGTGTCTTTGTTTGGCATTTGTATTAAAAGGGACAGTTCACATTTGAGTTAGATGCTGAAGCGTACAAAAGAAAAGCTGAGATATTAAAATAAATCCCCTAGTACATGACAGGGGAGCATCATCATGAAGATGAAACCAAAGTATGGTCTTCCCATGTCTGAAAGATAATTAATCACAGGCAGCTTATTTGGTTTGCAAGTTATTCTAGGATTACACTGAACCTTGTAAAGGGACTTCTGTTTACACTACAAATCTAGCATGCAATTTACATTTATCTGCACAGGAGAAACCTAATATTAAACAGTACGATTAGTTCAAATCAGCACTTTTATATAAAACAATTCCAGCTGCATCACACAACAATCTGAGCTTCCATGGTACATTCTGTATTCAGTGCATCATCTGTGCTCTTCCACTTGACCTTCCTCTGCCTTAGTTTCTCTGTTTAGTAACAGGAACAACATTAACCTTTCTAAACCACTTTCGAGATTTTCAGGTAATGGTAAAATAGAATTTGAAATTCAATTACTAATAACTGTTTCCCATGAATAGATGATAAAATGGGTTCATATAGAGGACAGTATGTAGGGCTAACACATTTGAAAGGAATATGCATCCCCATATCAGTGGAAGATAAGCATAACCACAAATTCCAGGCATTGTATGAAACTCTTGAAAGCAGAATAAGAACTAAATCATTTAAAAATCAAAAGGAGTGGACATTACTTTGCTAGGTAATTTATTTTCACTACCTACAGCTCACCTTCATCAATATCTGGTGGAAGACCTCCGACAAACACTTTCCGAGAAAAACGCTCAATTCGTTCCCCATTCTGATGACCAGAATAGCAGGTAGGTGAATTTAAGACTCCAACTTGATCATTATGACCATCATCCAACAAACCATCATCTATCGGGAAGAGGGAAGAACGGCCTTAAAAAGAAAAAAACAAAAAAAAAGTATTTGTATATTAAAACAACTTCACAGCAGAACACTGTAATGCAATTTTAGAATGGGGAAGGGGTGAATAGCTGTCTGGAAAATAAATAAAAATATCAAGATATTAGAAAAGCACACATTAGCTAAAGAATAACTAAGGCAAAGAAAAATGTATTAAAACCTCCAAAGGGAAATTCAAGACTGTAAACTGACATCTCTGTAAATATAATACCTCATGCTATCTTGTATTGTAGTTACTCTGCTGCACCAAGCAGGAAAATAACAATTTGTTCTCAACTAAAGAATCTTGTTTGTAAGAGATCATATTAAGGGCTGCTTACGTGAATTTAATTAGCTTGCCTTTGGTTTAGCTTCAAGATAAAGCAATAGCTTCTACCACACAAAAGACTATTGCATGTCTAAAAATTACAGTTTAATTGACCAGACTGAAATGGAAAACAATATATACACAGTAGGACCTGTCAAATGGGAATGTTGCCTCTTTTCTTTTAGAATATTCCGATTCTGCTGATTCAGCTTCTATGAAAGCAGAAGATAATTTTAACAAATGAGCATAGTGTAACACTTGAAGAACGAGTCACAGTGCTGACCGGCACTCGCTTTCTATTTTACGACAGTTGTGAAGGGAAGCCTTTGGGTGGCTCCTGACACGTAGCAACCTGCAGTGAAACTGCAGTTACTCTATGTGAGGACAAGGTAAGTCAGGTTTTTCAGGGGTTGTTGCTGCATGCCTCCTCTCCTTGTAACAAAAAATGTTCCAGCTGAAAAGCTACTGCAACTGTGACATCCAAGACCACCGTAGGACAGCTCTGCAATTGCAAAGTAATCAAAACAGACGCGTAGATGGCAAAAGAGATTCAGAACATGGTGTTTCTGACCCACTTGCACATACATAACCATTTTCCTGTTTGCAAATTTCAGAGAACTCCAAAGCAAAAGACTCTGACAGTCACACATCTTCAGTTATTCAAACTTTCACTGCTTTAAGTTAGCAACAAAAATTAACCAGAGTTTCAAGTTCAGAAGTTCAAAAAAAAAAAAAAAACAAAAAAACCCAAACACTTTAGCAAGGCAAAATAAATACGCCAACATCAGCATTTATTCTGACACGCAATTTTTCTGTTTCTTTCTCTCTTTTAAGCTATTACTATTTATTATTAAGTCATTTTGGAATTCAGCTGCTTTCCAAAAACAGAAAAAGAGCAACCAAAAAAACAACCTGGCAAATTTTTGGGAAGCAAGTTCATTTTCCACCTCAACTGACCAACTTCTTCCTAGTTCGCCCACTGCAAATCAGAAGCAGTAGGTTTGTGACAGCCGTCTGCAGTAACTTAGCTGCAATCTGTGCTGCAGTCTAACTTTCACCCCATCTCAGAAAAGCCCCTTAGAAACACCTGCAGAAATTCTGTTGTAAAGCCTTGTGGCCCTACATGGATATCTGAGTCCACTATGAAAATACAGCGCATCAGAAACACTGAATGAAAACACAAATGTGCTAGAAATCAACTAAATGTAATTGTTAAGAGGATCATAAAACAGAAGCAGGATCACTGGACAGTACTGACTAATAAAGACAGTAACTACAAACTCCTTATGGTGGCATTTCATGTTTATGCCTGAAGTGACAATCTGATAGAGTGGAATGCAGCAAACACAGTAAGTCATAGCAGGCTCCGTCATCCTAATGGTGATGTAAAAATGGTGATGTAAAAATGGTGATGTAAGTGAAAATATGACTTGTGGGAAGCAAGTGATGGCATCCTCACTTGCCACCATTAGGATGCATTCATTTAGAACATAGATGACAGGAACAGCAGAGAGCCTTTAGAAATGGAAGCAAGGAGCTTGCACTGATGGGGCAGAAAAGTCAGAAAGCAATGGACAATCACAGCTGGAAGAAGCAGCTAGGAAGACTCTTCTTGTAAATGACCTATTTAGACAGAAAAAGAGTAGGATCATGCTATGACAACCCCAAAAAAGAAAAGACTGCAGCAGCTGCGTAATGTGGATGTGAGTTTCAGCTATGAAGACTAACAGGAACGATCAGGTCTTATGTCTATGAAAGAATGGTAATATTTGGTTACCAATCAAGAAAAGAGGATTACAATATTTAAATGATGTAAAAATATGCCAACTCTAATTTAGTAAGTGCTGGTTAGACTGCTGCCACAGAAGCATTTAAGCTTTTTTTTCTGAAACAAGCAAACAAAAACCACACACACAAGTAAGGATCAATATCTCTTCAGATGACAAAAGTTACGTTTTCATTTTTCTCCAAAATTATTTTAGATAGCTCCACTTCTGACTTAAAGTGTACCAAATATTTAGGAAGAAAAATCCCTACTAAACAATAATCATCAGAGGGATTTATTCTTCTCACAGACCAGAGTAAAAATCGCACGACAAGGAGAATCTAAGGTCTGGCTCCCATTACAAATTAAACAACCAGAAAGCGTTTCTGAAGCAGTATCACTGAGATCAGTTTAACTTTAATGTGGGGAAAGGTTTCCCAAAAGCAGTGTAGCTCCTCAGAGAGCTAGGATGACAGTGGAGACAATGCATTAACACATTCAGAGCAGTGCACTATTTGATCCCAAATACTTATTCCTTTCTTCTTTTCACTTTTAAATGCCTTTCATCTGAAGACAGTAAAAAGCAACTTCCCAGGCTTTCAAATCTCTCCCAAGGACTCTGAACTGGAAGGATAAGCCCTTTAAACACTTGTTTATTTTTGTTCCACGGCAGTGAAAATAATTATATGGAATCTGACACAAATTGTCAGAACACTATGGTGCTATTATAGGCATCGATCATGGTTGACATCACTCCTCTCTAAAATGGGGCTAACAAGCAACTTGTTACGAACACAGAGATCAAAACAGACAAATTCAGTGTATACCGTGAAGACTGAAAGTTATCCAAAATCTTGGTGCTTTTGCTGCAAGTTTTCATAACAACCACAGGTTACATCCTCATATAGTTGAACCAGTACTGTTTTTCTACAGTCAGTGCACATAAGCTGACTTACACTACAAGCTATTCATTGTTTCCAAAGGACCGTCCATTAGATTTCTTACCAAGCTTATGAAATGTTGTCAAGATTCACTCTACACAATCACTTACACAGAAGCAAATGAAGACAAGTTAGGACAATTAGCAAACCACATACTTTTAAAGGAGGCAAAAACTGGAAGCAGTTACCATTAGCACGAACAAAATTATGATTAGAGCCACAGTGTTTTAACTGATTAAGGGATTTGTAATTCAAAATTTAAGAAGAGGTCAATGATCCAAACAATCCACCCCTTCTTCCCTCGCACCCGCCAATTTCCCCATATTAAGGAAACATGCAGACAAGCATTTATAATAAAACATCTGGATTAATTAATCGTAAGGATCAGTAACAGCTCCGTCAGAATTAATTGTACTGTAACAAACAGAAGTGAGTTACCTCGTCTTCGCCCATAACTCCTTGCTGCATGTAAACAAAGGACAAATTGTCAAATGTCAAACAACTCTGTTATGCCCACATATTAAAATATTTATCATACTGAAACTATGTGGGTGAGCGAAAAATAAAAATCTGCATTGCAATTTGCCGTCAGTAACTGCAGAAAAGACTGCAATAAATTAAAGTCTCTCTTAAATATAATTCTGTTTCACTACCAAACTGATGTCAGAAGTAGCTACGAGAATTATAGTTTGAAATACAGCAATGTTTCACAAACATTAAGTATTCAGTGTGCCTTTATACTTGATCTGAACTTCACGTTAATTACAGAAACATAAAATATGGTACATTTATAGTTAATCTCCACGAATGCTATTTGTATCTTATACAAGTGTCTAAGTAACACAAAGGGTACTGAAACTATAAAATGGAATATATTGCTTTAAAAACCATGTAGCAAGCATTGCATTAATCACAGAAACATCCTGGTCCACGGAACAGTTTGTACAGTCCTTTCAGTGACAATGCAAATGCTATGACCTTCCTTTTTCATGAAAGGACCTAGCAGAAAATTAACCGCAAGGTTTTGTTTCAAACAAAAGGCTCCTTGTGGTGGCAAACAAAATCAGGGCACAAGTCACAAGAAACAGCATTGTACCAAAAACACTACACAAAGGCAATGCAGCAATTTCTGACGGACTGCAAGGAAATCCAAGGTTTGCCTAACTTTTGAGTTTTGCAAGATTCTTAAAGAGATCGTGCACTATAGCTACTGCCTCTGTCCTGACTGCTGCTCAGCCTGGAGGTTAAGAACCTAAAAACAGACGGATGACTAATACAAAAGCTACTGAGTTATGTGCAGTTTTTCAGTTTCACTTCTACAAAGTATTCTCAATTCCTGTTTCTCAGATATGCAGTCTGAGAAAGATGACTTCAATCACTGCAGTACTGTAGTTAAATATCCAAATAGATTACTGCAAAACACCTTACAATGACACTCACAAACGAAGATTACTGTGTTCCTGCATTACTGTTTTGATTTTACTGGGACTTCATGCTTAGATTTCTCCTAAAATGCAACTTTGCTGCTGAGACACTGATAGTCATGCAGCCTCATGAGCTCAATGACTCGTGCATGTCATTCACTGTTCCATTTCCACAATATTAAACCCTTACATGCTGATACTTCCCCTTTGCATTTAGCGAGAATACATTTTTGTTCTCTCCATCCCTTCCCACTAGGAATTCAGTGGATTGCTTATGGAATTCTGAAAGGATCTCTTGCATTTCCCCCCTTTGAACAGATCTTTCTTACATAATATTCAGTATATTTCTAACCAACTTGCATTGAATATTCTTTTGAATTTATTTTCCTTCATCTGAAAGCATTACAATTAATTACAATAATCTTTTGCTTGAAGTTTTTCCATAACCTCCCTCTTTCTATTGTAACCCAGAACAAAAAAGCCGAGTTTCAACTAACAAAACAGAAACACCTAAATCCTCCTTTCCCACACAAAAATAACACCCATAGAATACAATATATCCTTCTACGGAGGATCTGATTAGCTGTCCTACTAGGGGATGCTGCATGCAAGTCCAACTTCGGACTTGTTACCATCTGAAGTCAGGCACTTTCAAGACACACAGCTTGGCCACTGCTGCAGCAAATAAGAATCTTTTCTGATTCTTGGCCAAAGAGACTCCCACATAGCATTACAAGTAGCGTCACCAAGTCCCCGTCTAACCCCTTGTACTCCTTTATTTTTTTTCCCATTCCCTTCCACAAATAAAACTAGAGTAAGAGGGAAAATGTGAGTGCATCGCATCCACAGCAATGAGCACACTGGCACATTCCCTCTCAAAGAGTAATATGGAAATACATTTTAGCAAGCATCTTCTGGCACAAAGCCTTAGCAATTTTTCTCCTCTTCTGCAACTACTTCTCTTTAAGCATTTTAAAATAGCAGCAATTTTAGGAATAAACACAGAAGGGTTATTAAAATCCTAAAAAAAAAAAAGCCACAATGCAATTCAGCTTAGAAGAATAATTGCTGCAGTATTTTATATAGAGAAATGACAGTGATACACCAAAGGTATCTGTTTATCTACTGCGTGTTCTTTGCATAGGCAAAACAATGACACCAGAGAAAATGGGAAAATAATTGTATTTGAAATTTTCACAATATTTACTTCACTTGTATGGCAAACCCCTTCTCTCCTAGTACTTATCTCTTTTGTCCATTTGGACTGCAAAATAGTTTGGACATGGATTTTTTGCCACTTGACTGCAGAAATCTCCTTGAATCCCACTCCGAAGGCACTACTGCAATAAATGTGAACACTGATACCAAAATGTAGGGTTTTGCAAAGCATGCTATTTTTTTATGATTTTTATCCATGGCTTAGGACCATGACCACAGTGGATCTACTACAGATGACAGGCTCTTGTCAGACTGCTTCCCCGCTCACTAAAAATATGATGCTACTGTGAACATATTCTTTCTAGATTCATGAAAGTTCAGTATTTTCATGTCCCCAACATACATATTGCTGCCTCCCAAAATTATTGTTTCTGAGAATAATCCCAATGAACCATGCTTTTAGTACGAATTGAACAATGAGATATTCTTTTAGGTTCAATCTAGATTAAATCAGAAATATTCTTCTGTATTTATTAAAATACCGTGTTTGTATTATACCCATCAGAAGTGGCCTAACTATACACATTATATATATTTAATTAGATATATATTTATAAATACAGTTTTTATATGGTTTTATATAAATGTATTTAACATACACATTTACTTAATTATCATACATGTTCAGAGAAATGAACGTGGAGGGAGACCTCTGCAGAAGGCCAGTCACTTGTAGTTAAAGGTGCTTTACAACAACAAAATAGAGATTATACTTCCTCCTTTCCTTCCTGATCTTGTTCAAAGTATAAGTCATACAGACATAATCTTTGTATCCTTCACTCTGTAATGATGAATATCCTCCCCAGCCAATGCAAGATTTCATAGGCAACCATGAACTTTATGATATCAAGTAAAATAAAATGCTGTTTGCACTTCACAGTTCTGACGCACACGATGAGATGGGGAAAGTGAAGTAATGAAGCCTTTTTGTTATCTATTTGTTACTTAAAGAAATCCATCAATTATAGGAGAATTTTTCAAGAGCAGAGTAACAGAGGTAGGTGCCTAATTCCCATTACATTCCATCAGATTTGGGTGCCTAAACACTATTTAGATTCTTTGAGAAGTCACATGTTTACAGATTTTAAGGCTGAGAGAGATCATTACGACCATTCAAGTCTGGCATTCGTAACTGAGTACAGAATTTCTTATATTCATAAATCTAATAACTTCTGTTTGAAGTAAAATATTTTTCTTAAAAGCACCATCAGCCTTAAGCATCTCCAAGTGGTAGAAAGCCTCTTGACGCAGTGATCAAATAGTGAATTATCACAGAATCATAGAATGGCTTAGGTTGCAAGGGGCCCTAAAGATCCAGTCCCCTGCCATGGACAGGATTGCAATTACACTAATAAGCCTCAATAGCCATTTAAAAATGCATTAGAACTATAAAGGAGATAGCCCTTAAAGGTGAAAAACACTCTAAAACTCTCACACTTGGACACCTGCTACAAAAAGAATCTAAGATTGAATTGTCAATTAAAGACATACTCAAGTAACACCATTCCAAAGCATCTTTACTTTTCAGAGCGGTTGTAAAAAAAACCCTTTTAACAGCTTGAGCTGAAACAGATAAATAATTAAATATAATTTATAAAAACATAAATCAGCTTTCCTTCGGTTCATTTCATTAATTTAAATAATGAAATCTGTAAACATTAAGTACACATTAAGTGACGTGGAAAGTATCCACCATTCAAAAAAGAGGAAAGCTAGTTAAAATCATTTTTATCTAGAAATGTTCAGTCTCAAGATGGTTGATGGTAAAAATGTTGCTGCTTTTTTTTTTTTTTCCACGAAGGACAGGTGTTACTGCAGTGACTACAACACTGATTTTCTCAAATGTGAGTCTCTATGCATCATCAATTTTCCTTTTCCAGATTCCTCTCTGTCCATGGAACCAATTAAAGGGATACTGCAAATCATTCATTTTAACTCGCTTCAGCAGACAAAAATGAAGTCTGCAACTTATTTCACAAGTGTTCAAATTGTGATTCTCCTTACCACATACACAGAGAAAGCCCTTCAATTACTGCAAAGAAAGAAAGGTTGTGACAGAGTCTGAAACAGCTGGAGCTTCCCTGAAGCTGTTCTTTGTGTTTCTAGTTTCTAGCTGTAAACAGGTGTAGTTTAGATGCTCCAGCCTCACACAGCTCCAGACAGTGCATACAACAGCACCTCAGATTGTCCAGATGCATTGCAGGAAGGTTAGGCATCCAACAAAAGGCTCTGAACCAAATTTGAGAGGGCATACCTAAAAATTAGGTGTGTTACAACACCTGTCTTTTAGAAATGGTTATTTTTATCTCATTTACTAAAGGTTGTACGTAATACTGCAGCTTTTACAAAGGACAGCTGTTATACTGAATGCTAGCTTTCAAACATCAGCAAAAATCTCATCAGCACTAATAACAAACCAAAGTACTTCTCAGTGCACAGAGTAGCTCTGCGGTAAGGCTTTCAGGATAGTCTGGCACCACAGACACACATTCTTCCAGTGTCACCAATAAAAACAAAGAGTTTTTTTTCAAGATACTCCATATTCCACTTGCATCAGCACTATAAAAGGAGAAGCTCACCATTCTAAGCATTAAACTTTTTTTTTTTTTAAATATGAGTAACTTGCCACAAAATATTTCAAAATATAAATATTTCAAAATCTATATTAATCATAAGATTAATTAATGTTTAATGCCTTCCCACCTGACGTTTCATTATAAATCAGGAGAAAATCACAATGGAATAAACACTGTCACCAAAAAAAAAAATCATTATTTTCCATTTTGCATCCATTTGCACAAGAACGATGGTGCAGAAGGGGAAGGCAATAAAATAATAAAAAAACAAAGCTCCACAGAGCCACAAACCTGAAGTACCTATCCTGTTTGTATTTTTCACAGATAGTTTTTTACTGGTAACATTTAGACCCACCATTATCCAATAATTAAAAATGAGAAAAATGTAATTGCATTGCATACATGAGATTCAACTTTTTCTAATCTTGTGAATCTGTGGCATTATAGCTCTAATTTTTCCCAATGTAGAAAACATTTGTGCGCAAAACCCCTGATTTATTATTGACTTAGATGGATTACCAAGCTCTGCTTCCTTCTTTAGCCTTGAACAAAGGCTAAAGTTCATGCCTTCACTGAGCAGCAGATGTTCACGAAGTTTGACCTACTGGGAGAGGAACGTGAACGTGAACTCTAACTGCAGCGTATTTTACAGTCAGAAACATAACTGACAAAGCCACTTAAGAAAAGAAATATTAGACCACATAAGTGTAATAAAAAGCATATAGTTTACCCTGTATCTACACAAGATGCATTTCTGACTTCTTATTTTTTCTAATTCTCATTCCAGCATGCTAGTTTTTTTGCAGAGCTTTGGAGAATGTTATTCTCATGTGCTTGAGAACAAAAAAGAATAGTGCATCCTTAAGTATTTCAGATTTCAAATAAGCTAGAAATAATGAAAGGCTGTTGCAAGATTAGCTGTTGCCATTCAGCTCTGAAAAATGGTAACAGTCCCATCAGTGTTAAAGACTAGAGGCAAGTAATTCAATAACAGAATATAATAGCATAATTTTGTACCAACATGTCAGATTTAAACTAAGCTAGAGATAATTAGAAACTGTTATAAGATTAGCACTTACCATTTAACATCAGAAGATTGTCAGTCCCTGGATGTGGATAACTCAAGCGACCTTAAAAGAAAGCAAAAAGCAAAGAATAAAACAAAGCAAATGCAGAGGTATTAATTATTACGCTAGAAAATGGTAATACCACAACGAAATGAAATATCACTTCTTAGAATTTAAATATAAACTCTATTTCCAGTTTGCCTAAGGGAAATAAAGAGCTAATATTTAACTCCAAGCACATTAACCAACAATACCCTTGACCCAAGTTAAAGCTGACAAGAACAGACTTCTTAACCTTAATTCTCTGGTCATAAGATCTGCAGTGCGCTTTAGGATCAGCTCCAATAGGATAAAGCCACTTTTTGTTTCATGACACCCAGAAATAGTGCTGACTGCTTTCGTCTTCTCCTTCATACTGATTGTGAATAACTGTACTATGCACACTGCTTAACAGAGTGGCACTTCTACAGTTTAGTGCCTCTCCAATGAACCGATGCAAGAAAAAAACACGTCAACATGAATTAATATTAAGGCATTCAGAACTTATTAACCAATTTATGATTGCATCTTGGTGCTTTGCATATAAAAATCATATGTAAGATTTTTTAGTAAGTCTGGCAAAACCAGAGTACTGGCTTACCTGCAGAATTAAAAAAAAATTAATATGATACACCACATTTTCCCTCAAACACCCATCCAATGAAAATTACACAAAATCTCACATCCTGACATTACAATTTTTCAAGTATTGCATTTCACTACATTCGTAGTATGTTGTACTTCTATAGCCGTGTCTGCTTTCAAATGCACTGTCGAAGCATCTCTTCACTCCAATTCCTTTTTATTAAAGACGACTTTTTCCGTTTACAGGAAGCTGCAAACATACCAGTAGTGCACACTGACCTAGAGAGAAATTTACAATAGCTGCTGTGTTTAGAAGTGAGCTTTTAAATACAAAAAAACCCAAGCCTGTATTTTCCTATGAAAACATACTTGCTTGTATATAATCCTTAAATACATATATATATTTAATCTTTTTGAGTAAACTAGAACATTTGTTGAGACAAATAGAATGCAGGCTGTATGCAATGCATGTTTAGAACTGAGACAAATTTAAAGGGGAATATATATGCAGATGGCTTGCAAATATTAGTAGGATGCTGTAGATAATCATACTTTAATAAGGCTTTCTGAAAAGAAACATTGCAAAAAAAGGAGAATGAAAATCAAAGCAGTGATCTATGTGTTAAACTTGTCTAACAATCCAAATCACACATTTCATTTTTCCCTCTACTGGCAATTTCTTGAAATAGTATTTGGGGTCCAAAAGGACACTTGGGGATTAAATAAATAATTCTTTTGCGGGAAAAAAAATTAAGTAACAGTGCTTAAATTTTGCTTTTTCCCCTTGAAAAACAAACATGAGAATTTTATATCCAAAAACATAGAAAAATTAGTGATAATTACGAACTCTTCCACTTAAAACAGCAAGATTAAAACCCCAAGTTATACAGTTACTCTCTCCCAACAGATTCCATTGATATTAGAATGTACATTAATGGAGTGGCTGAAGATAGGTGAGATCTCAGCCTATTTGTTTTACAATTTGGAAAGCTTGGGTGAATCCATCTGGAAGAGTTCTACAGCCTTCTCTAACTTTTACTGAACTTTTAACAGGCTTAGGCAAGATATTAAAAAAAAATAGCGTTTCTAGAACAGTAAATATTCCATGCCTCTAGAAAGGCATGCTGGTGTTAACAAGAAATGCAGAGAGAAGAACACTTCCTTAAATTGCAAGCTGGGAGCTGCCAGTGGTTTGCTCAGCCTGGCTTTTAAGAAGTCACCTCGCTTTTCTTCTTAGTTGGTCTCTAAAATTAATACTCATTTGGCTAACAGCAAGCATTTACTGTCACCAGCCTCTTTATATGTAGAAGTATTTGCAACAAACGCTGTGAGAGGTTTCTTGATGTAGAACAAGAATAGAAATTATGAGAAACAATCATCTCTTGTTGAATCTGCCCGAGTCTCCACTGACATTCTCTTTGTTCTTTACATAAACAGCTCACATATAAATATAAATGTTCTCATTTAGTGAAGGAGATAAAGGACACATACCCTAATTACAACAGAAAGACAGGTAAGATTTAAGGCCTATCATAAGAGAGAACCCCACCAATACCAGTATCTACAGAGGAAAGCTGTTTTAGAAGATTCATTCTGGGTTTACCACTACATTTTCTCATTCTTTATACTTTTTCCCCTCTAACTCCGTGAATAAATTGCACCTGTAACAAAAAGCGCCGAACTGAGAAAGCTGAAATAATAAAGTGCTTCTCAAGAAGCAATGGGCAGAGCTGCACTAAGGAGTGCTCTGCCTCTACTGGGCCCACCACTCCTGTGTCAGGCTTATGAATCAAACACAAAAAAAACACATCTTGCTGCTCTGAAGATGAATTTGCTAACTCAGATAATAATTTGAACACTAGAAGAGGAAAATAAGTAACGCATTTCACACAAGTACTGCTGTACTGATATTTATTTCTAGTCTTAGTCTAAAAGTTATTTCAGTGAAATAGCATTTGGTCATTTAAATATAGATATGTCATTCTGGTGAACCTAATACCTGCATTTCATTATCTTCATGTAGCACTTGGGTTTTACCATCTTGAAAACATTTTTAAGGTTTTCTCACTTTTTCAAAACATAACCACTGCTGTTTGTTATGTTAACTTCAGTTCTTCTGCCTCAGCCTAATCAGAGGAAGTAAATCAGTGTTTCTAGGGAGTTCACCTGAGTTTAATGGTATGAATAAACTCAGAAAATTTCCTATGTGGAATTGCGTGAGAGATGAGTCTCTTACAGAGTTCAGACAACTCCAATTTGTTTTAGAATACTGTAGAATGGATGCATACAATATTAAATCTCACGTAAAATATCAATATATAAAATAGAGAACAAGGGCACATCACCTTATATCAATTTACTTAGCTATTACGTTTTAGTTCCTACTCATCTCTTTCCGCTGAATGCTGTTTAATGCTGTTAAATTGCCCTCACCACAAATCCCATCTATTCCCTTCTTACCTCAATGTCAGTAAACATGAACTGTATGACCATTCAATACTTATTCTAGTTATTCCAGTGGTTTCTACTTGCTTTAAAATAATTTCAATTAGATAGAAAGATGCTACACTAGTTTAAAACAACAACTACAAATTAGCAACAGAATTATCTACTAATAAATAATAGATGTATTTCCTGAGAAATGAAAATCACTTCACTGACTGCCTACAGAACAGAGCTCTACAGCACCCACAGTTAGTACCAGACTGCCACTTGAAAAAAATACAAGGGCTAGTACTACAGTACTCCACCACAAACTGTCACATTGTAGAAAGTTTCTCTACAAAAGCCTGAGTCTAGGAACTTCAGCACATCTCCACTAATTATTCTCCTGCACCACAGCTAAATTCAGAATAGCACTGCCGAGGAGACATTTCTTATGTAATAGATGTGCTATTAAATTCAATCCCCTCTTCCACATCTACACCAGCAATGTTAACATACCTGGTTGGTATGTGTATCTCACAACATTTTCTTCCATAAGGAGGGAAAAAAACAAGCTTGCAAATTAGCTTTAGCAGGCCAATTTATCCACTACATCCAATTAAAAGTCTTGATAATAAAAATGGCAAGGAAAGAGTAACAAATGTGATTTTGATTACATGTCTGTAAGCACATGTTACTAACACGACGTTTTTTTCTCCAGGCTTCTGAGCATCCAGATACAGTTGCTCTTTCTGTTCATTTTAAGACAAATTCCTATCTACTATTGGAAATGCACGTTTTCTGTAGGACTCCCTAAATATTAAAACATTTGGATTAGACCTAAATTTACAGTGACCACTTGAAACGCTGCTGGCTCACAGCTTCACAAGTTTGATGTTTAATTGTCTGCATCCCTCTCCTTTTTTTCCCCCCTAAGTTTCAAACGATTGAATGAAGAGATAAGAATCACAAATTTCTTCCCCACTTTCTTTTTTTCAGTATACATCTTGATTAGAAGAGAAAAATCTTCCATGTTAAGCTTCTGCCACACTCCTTTAGCAGACAGGGAATGGCTGAGTTTCAGCAGTTTCAGAAAGCTCCGTTTTTGTATTGGCATAGATAAGACAACAGCACAAATCCATGTCTGGACAACACCTAGTTACAGAAAGCCTAGCTACTACACTTTCACATGCTTGTGTAAGAATTACGTAAGCCTGAATGAGGCCAAATGTGCTGTCTGTGACAGTCCATGTGTTTAGGCAAATGAGTCTATCAGACTTAAACAGGAGGATTCCCCCCCCTCAGTTTCTAAGAAAGAAATCTACAGAAAACATTCTGAATGTATGATTTCAAAACCTCCTACAGAACAAAAAGAGAAGTTTCCCCTTCTCAGCTTTTCATTCTGCCTCAGAAACCCTTTTTGGAGTAGGATTTGAATTACTCCAGGATAGAACTGCATAACTGTAAGTCTTACTGCTTCCTAATATAAAATATAAAACAAAATTATTTGAAAACAACAGTTGTCAGATCCAAAGAAAATGTTTTCTACTGTGTTGTTCAGTCACTGCTGCCTTTTCTTTATACTTCACTGGGTGTCCTCCAGCAGGTTGCTTTCAAAAGAAGCACACACAGAACAGCTGAAAAGCTTCACTAAATTAATTGAATGGGAAAATAAAAATAGAAAAGAGCAACGTAAGTGCATCAAGTTATTTTCCACAAGTCACTCAGTATTTTATTATTATTTTTATTACTAGCTATAAGACGGTATTATTTCAGTTCCCCCTCTTCCCCTCACCACAAAAGCATGAAAAAAACTTCAACTCCTCTTTCCTATAAACAACCTTCATATTTGTTCTTGTTACTCCTATTAGCGTGACTAATTGAAGTTCTGTACTCTCTTGTATCCAGCTTGTAGAGCTGGAAGAGAGCTGGTCAGAAAAAAACAACTGTAAATAGAGTAAAGTATCAGTATTCCTGCCTTACTCAAGAGAACTTTTTATAATGTATTGAAATCGCCATTACCTTCAATAGAAAAGTGCTTAAAACAGTAGATAATAAATTCCAAAAAATCACCTGCTTCACAATTTGGATACATATTCCATGAAAAATATAACTAATTCTTTTACATTTTTTTCCATAATTTGTCTTAGACCAAACATTTTGGCTTTTCTGTTTCTGAATAAAAGCTTGCTACATCAGGAAAGACTCGCCTTCGGGGGGAGGTTGAAAAAAAATACAAGTACGCAACAGTTCTATCTTTGTTCTAACAATATTCTGGTATTTTAGGCTCACTTCCACCCTTCTAAGGGTTAATAAAAGAATAAAAAGGACATTTAGGAACAAAGGTGTAAAAAGGAATTAATTCAGCCTTTATTTACTTTGGTTTAAGTTCTAATGATTGGAATGGGTAATCAACTACCATTTTACAAAGTGGATTTTGAGAAAACAACTTGGGAAGATTAGTTTTAATAGGATCAATATCTTTGCCACAACAATTAGTGAATTCAAGCACTTCTTCCCTCCTAGACTACCTTGAAATGTCTCACCGAATTCCAAAAACCCTTTATTTTGGTTGTGTCCGTAGCTAGACTAAGCTTCATCTAAGAGAAGCTGAAACTACACATCTGTAAACAACTCTTGGCAGGCATAAGGTTAGCTTTCAGTGAATCGCATTTGAAAGAAAGGTTTGTCAAGTTCATGAAAAGCAAGAACTGTGAAATCTGAGTTTCTTCTAAAATGAATCTTCAAATGCAAAACCTGGAGCTGTGAGCTAGTGGTACACACTGTGTCTGTTCTGCATTGTGCAAAATCTGAGACAAGATGCTTAGTCATACTCCAGATATTGTAAGCAGCTAAATCCGAAACACGTGCTTAAAATTCCAGGGACTTTCATTTTACTGCTGTGGTCAGATATAAAAGATGCATTGTTTCAGTGTGCTTAGATTGCTGAAAAACGTGTCACAAAAATATTCTCTAGTTATAAAAATATTCTTTCCTTACAACAAAGTATGCTACGTATTAGTAAGAATAAAAAATATTTTCAATCCTGTGCATTATGCAAGCAGATATGATGGGCTCTTATTTAAATGTCAGATTTTCTGTAGTGAAAAGAAATGCCACTTGGACTGAAATAACAAAATCAGTGTTTCATGGTTTGTAAAAAAAAAAAAAAAAAAAAAAAGTTACAGTTGCTAGGAGGCTACAGAAATGCCAACTAATGGTGACTAAACATGAGAGGGATAGAGAGTGAGTGAGAAGCTATTCTTGGATGTGTTTTCTGCTTCCCACTGCCAGCCAGTAAAATCAATGAGGAATATTTCCCTTGTCTCACTGCTAAAAATGTAACCGTTTTAATTAAAATAATAACTTCCAAAGGAAAAAAAATGCATCTTCATCAATCTATTTAAATAATAGCACACGATTACTCCATTAAAATTCAGCTGGTGTGTGCATTGTTCTCTGGCACTCAAACAAAAAGAGAAGAAAAGAATTTCCTTTGAATTCATCGCTATCTATGGCTTCCATCTGTTTTAGTTCAAACAGAAAACTTTGCAGAATTTTCACTGGAAGGGTACGATGGTAAAACTGTTAAAAGAAAAATAAGTCTGTCAACTATAGACTGAAACCATACACTCGTGTCCCTAGAAAGCTCAGAATAACTATGGAACCTTCACTGAGTTTTTCAAAAATGTCTATATATGGACATATTTCACTTCATCTTAAAAGCTTTGTCTTGCCTTATTCTCACTAAAAAAATAGTACTGGAAAGATACAGTTTTCACATAGCGTATCATAATGAAATATGATGAGAAGAATAAAAATAGGGCTCTTGTGTGTTTAGTGTGCCTCTGAGAACTCTTCTACATTATAAAACCAAAATGAAAACAAGAGAACTGGTAGGGGCACAAAGCAACCACTTCCATTTGTCCCATCGGTGTGCACAGAAGAAGTGAAGAAACAGGCTGGTTTTCAGGCACGTGAGAGATGTCACTGGTATGTTATAATAGAGGACACACGCTCTCTAATTCTAGTAACGATCCTGATGGTAGACTTGGGTTCAGATAACAAAAAAAACATTGGTCCTGAGCGTAGTGAATTCGTTATCTTGTCTGTGGTGGCATGCATGTGCTTTCAGTGCACAGCTGTTACCACAGGGTTAACATTCACAGGTTTCAACCTCTTCGAGTTACTTTGTAATGTAATAAAGATGCAGACTGGACAGAAACTGAACTTACTGGTAAAACGTAATGATAAAATCATTAAAATGGAATTCTTCCTCTGTAAGTATCATGAAACAAGAAGTCAGATTTAAGAACAACTAACAAAATTTAATTTCAGCTTCCAGTCTAACGGAGGAAAATGAAGCAGCTAACCAAACGCTACGTACTTACTGATGCTTAGCAGAGATTTTTAGTTTGGAAAGAAAAAACGCAACACAAAACCTTTTGGCTTCACACTATAAATCTTCAACTGTTACAGGCTGTACTACAGATCTTCCAACTGAACACAGATCTTACTAAACAATGAATAGACTCTGTCTTCCACATTACAATAACACACACTTCTATGTATAACTTCCATATATATTAAGCTTAGGGACCTCTAGAATTGAAGTATGGATGGGGGTAAATAACTGCATGAATAGAGGTTGTTTGCTTTTTTTTTTAAATTGCTCCAATACTGAGACAGAATTTGGCATAGCAACTCTGAAGTCTTAGATAGTTTTAAAGTTAGACTGTGTCAGTCTAGTTATAGCACCACAAATAAAGAAGTATTTGATAAATCCAAATAAAGCTGTTTGAGCCCTACAGTTCAGTGATAAACCCCTTGTGAGAATAAGTATAGAACAACTTAATACAATGAGTTACTGTACAATGAACAGAGAAGTTAAAATTGAAGGTCACACATATTCACTATTTCAGCAGAGCCCAGAAGAGTAAGAGGAACCCACATTCTAAAGCAAAGTGTACTTCTGGACCTCTTAGAGCTAACAGAAACCAGACAACTCCATGCATTAACATCTTTCGTGGGCTCTGAAATTGACATCATTTTCATATCGGCTTCCACCGCAAAGAATAGGGAAGACTCACTGAAAGTGTTTTGATTCTCCTCCCACCTCCTTTTGACTTGCTGCAGCAGATCAGCGTGTCTTTATAAACTGAGGTAGAACTCCTTGCAGCAAATACGTCAATTTCAGATAAACCTAGCTACGAATTTTTTGGGTAGAGGAAGAAAGCTGGAGTGGGAAGGAAATAATACCTGCGAAGACACTAAAGCTTAAATTTTTAAACATCTATAAATCCGTATTTTCAGGAAAATGCAGATTGAGACTGACCTTCTATTTAACTTGAGAAAATAATTCATATTTTAATACGAACCTAGAAACTAAATTAGCAAGCAGTGTTAATTCAAATCCGCAGAATGGATGACCCTTTTTTCTTTATTTAGCATAGTAACATACCTTTAAGTGGATCATGCTCTGCTCTCATAATGTCAATAAGGGAGTTTTCCAAAGAGTGCATATTCAGACTGTCATACATTCTATTTCGATCCTAAAAGAGAACAAAATCCTTAGTATTGGAATACAAATTTTATACTTTTTTTTTTTAACAGGAAATTTGATAGGAAGACATAAATGCCAGCTAAAGACTATATGCTCAGATACTCTGAAGATGGATAGCAATACAAAAACTTAAGGTATATTAATTTATTAACAGTAAGTTTAATAGTTTAATTAAAATGTAAAACTAGAAATGCACTTCAAAGAACTCCTCTGTATATGCACTTTGATAGACTGTTTCTTTCAGAGGATCTGCTTTAATCAGTTCTAAAGATCCACAGCAGAGCTCAACATTCAGTGGTTTAATGAAGGAGGCTAATGTCTCAATTTAATTTAATGCAGAAGTTAAACAGTGAGTAAGGTCCCAACCTTAGTCAGGGATCTAGAGGAGGAGATGGACAGCCACAAATGAAAGATAGCATTTTCTTGGTGCTTTGCTAAGTATCTCTCCCAGGCACGCATGCCCCTGCTGAGACTGCACTCCCTGGTTTCTGGGTCATTAACCTGAGACCCTTTGCATGCAAAGACATGACTTAAAAATGGTCGAAGCTAAATGGTTCAAGGTTGGAAAATTAAAGCTAAACTATGAAAGAAAATGTCACAAAGCTTACTAAAAGATTATCAGCCTTCCACAGAACATTTTTCTTTTTGCAAGTGCTAATAAGAAAAGTTACTATAACGCCTGATAAATATTTTCACTGAATAGAAAGTATTACAATAAATTACAAATATTTTCACCAATTTAATGTTTAACTCAGACATTTTCTCCTGCATTTTTAATGCCTCAAAATTGCAGAGATAGACAAAAAAAGGATTACTTGAAACTTCTTTGGTCTTTTTGGAATACCTTCAGAGACTGAAAATAGTTTGCGTAAAACCTTAATCTCCTCGACTTGCAAGGCTTCTGGCTGGCCTGTATCATACTTAAGGCACGATTACAGGATTTTATTATTATCTCCTCTGTGATTGCACTACAGTAACTCTGCAGAGTTAGGAACACACTGCACCTACCTCATGACTGTTAAAATTCTTTAATGCTACAGCCAGTACATACATAATAGGACAGAAGGGTTCTGACCCACATATCCCATGACAGTTCAACAGAGTTGAGATGAATTCAAACTATGCCCTTCAGTAAGAAGGGACTCTTCAATAACAGGGCTGAAAAAAAAGCAAGCTTTGAAAGATGTTTTCCCTGAGTCAGAAACCATGATCTATGAACAGCTCTGCGAAACCAGCCATGATCAAACTGAAACGTGACTTTCACCCTTCTTTGAAAGGTTAGTCAATGTGTCATAACATTAGAATGAAGAAGATGCTGTCTTTACAAGCTCTCTCTCTCTCCTCATGCAACTGCTAAAAGCAGTGGATTTTTGTAGCTATCACAGAATAAAGACAGTAGGATAAAAAGTCTGTATGTTTATTTGAATACTTTTTTTTTTTTTTTAATTGAAACCTTATGATATTCTAAAAGAAAAAAAAAAAATCACTACATTTCATCTCCTTTCATGCCCCAAACTAAGTGCCACTGACAGCTTGAGGTGATTTGAGTATGAATGAGTCTCCTGTAGTATTTGAGTTCACAGCAACCTCATTTTGAGACTACTAGGCTTTCATTCAGTTCTCTGGTTGTCCTAAGCAGAAGCAGAATTAAAGTGAAATGACTCATCGGCTTTCATGCCCTTGCAGGTTTATTTTTCAATAGCAACCTATGAAAAGAAGCCGCTCACTACAGCAAACCTGCTTTCAATGGAAGGTGTGAGCTGTGACAATGCTGTATCTGATCCCTACTGTCCCTCAGCAACAAGCACTCAGAAGACAACACAGTTTTTAAGGAAGTCTTAAATTCAGCTGACTTCTGTACTTGTACTGTAGGCAGTAAATGCTCTTGCAAAACCCAGTGCTGAGTAAACAAAACGCACACTTCACTACCTTTGTAGCCTATGAAGTAAAAGAACCAGTATTTGCAAAACAGAACAGCACGTGTAAGAGCTCATCTTCGGTACAGGCTCACTCAGTAAAATTTTCTCATTTTTGATCATGAGATAGATGACCATCTGGTGGTGCCCAGTACCAGAATGGGGCAACAGACACAAACTGGAAAACAAGAGAAGGCACTTCCACGCTGCACAGTGACAGAGCACGGACTGCCTAGAGGCTGCAGCATCTCCTCCTTGGGGATCCCCAAACGCTGCCTGGATGTGGGCCTGAGAACCCAGCTCTGAGTGTCCCTGTTTGGGCAGGGGTTGGGCCAGGTCTGATGGATGCAGACATCGCTGCCAGCCTCAGACACTGTGACTCTGTAAAGTGCCACTAGCAGCTGCACTTCAGCTTTGCTTTGGAGAAGCTTTTAAGCAAGGACTCTGATATCGGTAATACCAGCTCACTTGCTTATAAAACTTGAAGAAAAGGAAAAATAATGAACAGCAAGTTTGTGGCACGGTTTAATATAGCTTCACCTTCGCATCGTTCCATTTTGCAACTTTTTTATTTCTAAACTGAAAGGTCTCGCGCTGCTGGAAGCAGAAGAAATAAGCTTTCCTCATTCACTTTACACTGCAGGCATTTCATTTCTCTGAAGCTAATAATAGTTATTTGAATTGTATTACTTTGTTTCTGGCAGTGAAAACATAATACAGCCATGCACTGTACAATATAAAAATGTTGTGAAAGCGCTAAAGTAGAATTTAAATACAGGCAATACAAGTATTACACTCTGCTACCTCACTACTACCATCATGCTTGTCCTTGGGTAACATCAAGGTGGTAAATGCTTCAAACTTTTAAGATGTATTCCACCTCAAAACAATCAACTATTTCCTATAAAACAATGCTATCTGGAATGCTACTATCTCTGAAGGAGTGATATGTCCTTCAAGGAAAAGGTTACTTCCAAATCTTTGGCAAGTAAGGCTTTATAACGCTTAACTGCTACTTTATGTTCCCCAAACACGTACATTATATTTTTAAAGAACACAAGTATAATCTATGCAAATATAAAGCTTTCATTTCAAAGCAGAACTTAAAAGTATGTCAATAATGTAGGTCACATCCGCAACAGCTTTCTAGAAAGTTCTACTGCAGAAAAATGCCTACAATGCTCTGAAGGGGTACAAAACTATTACAGCATGCTCAGCTCCATCAGGAAACTTGCACTGCGATTTTCATTAATCTCTGTGACAAGCATAAAAACTAATCTCCCATACATACGAAAGTACAACTACTTCTGTATTGTTTTAAAGGTCTTTCCAGGTTGTTTTTGAAGATGACTTCTTATCCACTTCTTGAAATAAAGAAACTAGAAGATTTATTAACACAAAGGCACCGATATCCAACCAAACTGCATGTTAATACACATATATTTCTAGGCTGTCCTGATACAAAGAAGTCCGTTTTCTTCCCCAACAACAAGTTTCTGCAGAATATTTTGCATTTCCCTCACCTCTGTGGCACATCAATCCTGTGCTAAGCAGCAAATAAACCGTGGCTGTGTCAGAAGGTCCATGCCTCAGTGGAATGTCACAGCACAACACTAGACTTTCCTAGAGCTGATAAAGTTAACTACTCCCAAGCATTACATATTCTCACACTAGTTTCATCTCCTTATAACTGTAGGAAGATTTGAATCTTGCCTGACCTACGTTTCCAATTACAGAATCAGATCTGTGTGCATGCATGGAAGAACTGAAAAGGAATTCTAAACATTCAGAGACACATAACTGATAGAAACTGTCACCTCAGAAGTTAAAGCTCGGTAAGCAAATTTACAGAAAAGTGGTACTTATTTTCTACATGTACAAAATTATGCAACATAAGGGAAGCATGAAGTATTCTATCCAGAGGATGCGGTCAGCCCTAGGACTCTCTCAGTGTCATGCAAAACACAGATTTCAGATGTACTCCCCTCAAACATCTAAATGTGGAATGAATGGCAGGAAGTCGGCTTTCCCTGAAGAGCCACTTTCATCACTGAGCTGTTGAATAAATCATTTTTCTTAGTACAAAGTATTTAGGACTTTATATATATCCTCACAATTTATGCAAAGACTATTCAGTTAGAGCATTTGCAGAGCCTCAGTGCAGTCACCTCTCAAAGCTTTATATTGTCACTTATACATAAAGTAAATACAGACGTGGTCAGAAACTATTAAATTACAAATACTATTTTGCTAATCCTTACCACAAACTCTAAAAATAGATGCTCATAGTTAAGCAGCTAAATACCTCTGAATTTCAGGCACATTTGTTAAAGTACTGATCTGTAAGAGTTCTTGAGGTAAAAAATAGGAATTCCGACATAGGTAGTGAATTCAGTAAATGCTAATATCTTTACAATATGTTACTTTGCGTGTCCCTTCACGTTCTGAATAAATGTAGCACTATCCAACAGGGGCTAAAAACAACTTACAAGTCATAAAGCTGCTAGTCAGGTTAGAGTACAGCCTTGGCAGCTGCAAAAGAGACTCTGTATCTTTGACCTTGATGATTTAAAAGCTCAATTAAAAAAAAAGAACAACCAACCACCTTATTCTTCATCATTTCCCAAAGTGAAATGTTAACATGCTTCCATTTTTATTTTTGCCTTAAAAATGATCTGAATAAAAATACATTCTAAGACCAGAATGTAACAGCTAATCTAGTAGTAAAGTACCTACAGATTAAAAAAGTAAATGAATGTAGTCCATTGCTCAGTGTTAACATTAGGAGTAATAATATAACAATTCAGTATAATATATACTTTAAGATGTCATCATTTACTAACATCCAAGCTTTGAGTCATTCTCTGTTTAGTGAGGACATGCTGTAATTGTAAGCCCATTGCTAAATCTCTGAATATCATAAATGAGAAATCCAATACTAAAACTTAAGACTTACTACAGCTTTTGCTCTATAAAAAAAGGAAGGAGAAAGCTTTGAAATAGACACGTAAAATTGCTTGGTTACTTTACACGGTGTCATTAGTGGTAACAACGAACTGTAAGGTCTTGTAGA